GTAATTTAACAGCAAATTCCACCTCGATCCCCGTGGGGTCAATGATTATGATTCTTGCCCCTGCTCCTGTCGCTGTGGATGACCCATCCACGTAGACTCTCCATTCTTTCTCCATAGGTACCCTAGTGGTTTCCCGGATGAAATCCGCCAACGCTTGTCCTTTGACCGAGGTACGAGGTTGATATTGGATTTCATATTGTCCTAACTCAACTGCCCATTTAACAATTCGTCCCGATGCCGTAGGCTGGCCTAGGGTTTGTCGGAGTGGTAAGCTCGTACGGATTACCATTGTGTGAGATAAGAAGTAAGGCCGGATTCGCCGCGTAGTGAGGACCAGCGCGTATGCTATTTTCTCAACTTCTGAGTACTTAATCTCCGAGTTAGTGAGGATCTTGCTGATGTAATAGATCGGTCGTTGTTGACCACTTACCTCTTTGAACAAGACCGAACTAATCGATTCGTCTCCCACCGATAGATATACGAATAAGGTTTCGCCTTTCTCAGGGGTGCTAAGGATGGGCAGGCGAGTTAACGAAACTTTTAGTGCCTCGAACGCGAGTTGGCATTCTTCGGTCCATTCGAACTGTGCCGCTTTTCTCAAGACTTTGAAGAAAGGCAGACTTTTATCAGCCATTCGCGATATGAATCGAGCCAAAGCCACCACTTTACCGGCTAAGGACTGAACTTCTTTTATAGACCGAGGATGGGTCATTCGGAGTACCGCCTCGACTTTATCTTGGTTCACCTTGATACCTTCTCGATTAACTACATACCCGAGAAATTTTCCAGCCTTTACTGCGAATGCACACTTTGCTGGGTTCAACTTCATCCCATAAAGGCGAAGGGTGGCAAATGTCTCAGCCAAATCAGCAAGGTGCGTGGAGCATTTTTTGCTTTTGACCAGCATGTCATCGACGTAAACTTCGATATTGCGCCCGAGCTGAGCCCGAAACATCCTATCCATTAGTCTCTGATACGTAGCTCCCGCATTTTTCAAGCCAAAAGGCATCACGACATAACAATAAGTGCCCGTGGCTGTGATAAAGCTCACTGCAGGTTGGTCCCTTTCCTCCAACGAGATCTGGTGGTATCCTTGCGAAGCGTCCATCATGCTGAGTAGCTCACATCCGGCGGTAGCGTCTACGAGCTGGTCTATGCGAGGTAAGGGATAGTCATCTTTCGGGCAGGCCTTGTTTAAGTCCCGAAAATCGATGCACATCCGCCACTGTCCATTACTCTTTTGCACCAACACCGCATTGGACAACCATGTGGGGAATTGGATTTCCCTAATATGCCCAATATCGAGGAGTCGTTGGACTTCTCGCTTGATAATTTCGTCCTTTTCGATGCCGAAGTGTCGTCGCTTTTGTTTGATAGGTTTGCACTCGGGTCGCAGATTGAGCCTGTGTACAGCGGTACGAGGTGCGATGCCAGTCAAATCGCTGGGTTGCCATGCAAAGACGTCTACATTAGATCGCAATAATGCTATCAGCTCATCTCGAAAGGGTGGTTCTAGGTCTTTGCTTATCTGGGTTTTCTCATTTTTATTTTGGATTGTTTTTACAAAAAACTACCTTTAAAAATAAAGAGGTACCATTATTTTAACCATTCGAATTATATAAAAATGAATAATAATAATAATAATAATATAAATTTCATCTTCAAATTATCAGGATGTTTTAAACAATATATATAAGAAAAAAACAATATATGTATAAAACATATATGTTTAAAATATATTATTTGAATATATAATAATATTAACATTCAAAATGTGCTTTTTTTGTTGTTCTTGGATTATGAGCTAGAGGTCCTTCAAAAACATTTGGTACCATTTAAGGACAGACAATGTTTATCATTTTGATTAAGGTCCTTTAATTAGATTTTGATACCATTTAAAGTCCCTGTAGTCCTCTAATAGGGTTAAGTGGACGCTGAATAGACAATTTTTTCTTCATGCATTGTTTGATACTGCAGTTTGAACAATAGATACCAAAAGTCTAGAACTTAAAAATTACATGAATATACGTACTCTATAGCATATAGAGCTTACTTAGAGGGCTTAAACCGAATCTGAATATATGCATTCCACAGAGAAGTATACACACATAAAAATTATATAGTGGAAATTAGTTATGGAGTTTAGAAAGAAATTATACACATATGAGTAATATACAGTAGAAAGTATAAAGAATACTTAGTTGCAAGAGTTTAGTCATGTTTAATGATCATCTTCTATGGAATATTAATTATTGACAATCATCGCTCCACGTTCTACAGCTAAACAAAGTGAATAACCAAACACTGCAATTCATGAACCTCCAAATGGGCATTTACAAACACAAGTCCGATTTTCCATAACTGTTTTTTGTGTGATTGAGTATGTGTGTGTGTGTGTGTGAGAGAGAGAGAGAGAGAGAGAGAGAGAGAGAGAGAGAGAGAGAGAGAGAGAGAGAGAGAGAGAGAGAGAGAGAGAGAGAGAGAGAGAGTTTGTATGTGTGCGTGTCAATTCTTATCCGACGACGACGGCAACACGGTGGTGGGGTGAATATGGTGGTTTGAGGGTGGGGTGGGAGGTAACGAAAATGGTGGTGCATTTGAAATGGATAAGCGAATAAGTGAATGGAGTATGGGAGAAAGCGACGTGGGTAATTTCGTCTTAGAGGGATAGAAGATCCGACGGTCCTAATTTATTAAGAATATTATTAGTGATGAACAGTATTTAGTAAATTACTCGGTAATTAATGCATGCTCTCAGTATTTAGTAAACAACTTCGGTTTGGGCCGAGCCATGGCTCACTGACAGCGGGGGCAGGCATATTTTTACACGTCGACCAAGTCATACATCGTTCCCGAATAAAGTCTCAGACCTCATCGACCACTCTGTGCATTCTTGGGATAACAACATTGTCGAGAATTATTTTTGGCCCGTTGATTGGGAACGGATAAGGGCGGTGCCGATTGGTAACACCAACGTGGAGGATAAATGGATTTGGCATTTCACAAATCACGGCAAATTCACGGTCCGTTCTTGCTATCACCATGTTATTTCACGGCAATCTGAAAACACGAGGGATGGTACATCGAGTAGTGGGGAAGTTAAATCAAACTGGAAGTGGATTTGGAAGTTATCTCTCCCACCAAAGGTTAAATTGTTTGTTTGGCGATGGATTTCGAACATTTTACCTACGTCGTCTCTACTTCTCCGACGGAGAATTGCGGCAGACCCATGGTGCCGGAGATGTGGAAGGACAGAAGAAACACCAATGCATGTGATTATGGAATGTGGAGGGGTTGATAATATATGGCGGGATTTCAAGATAATAATAAATCACCAGGTTCTAGGATTGTCTGCTTGGCAATGGGTCGAGAAACTTCAAAAACACCTCGACAAGGATTCCTTGAACCTGGCCTTGGTTATTACATGGAAGATTTGGGAGAAGAGGAACAAGGAAATTCATGGAGAAGAAGGCATCCCCACGACCGATATTCGAGATTGGTGCAGAATTTATCTTGATAATTTTACGGCGAGCCAAACTCCGCCGGTTCTTTCCCACAATCGCCATCATCCGACGATGTGGAAACCGCCGGATCAAGGTTCGGTGAAAATTAATGTGGATGTGGCTTTTCCATTCGATAAGGACTACCATGTAACGGCCCTTGTTGCCCGCAATGCTGACGGAGCTTGTATTTGGTGGAGCACTAGAAAGATTATTGGCCGCCCGACGGTGGTAGATGGTGAAGCCCATGCAATGCTTAGTGCCATTATCACAGCAAAGGAGAAAGGCTGGGAGGACATTGTGATTGAAGGGGATAACTTACAAGTGATTACGGCTTTTCAAACTCGGAACTCGGACACTCTTCCGTACGGGGTTTTTATAGAGGAAGGCTTGGTTTTGTCTCTTTTTTTCAATAATTGTCGTTTTGAATTTGTTAAACGCTCAGCCAATATGTTGGCCCACGCTATTGCCACTAGATACGATCACTCATGTAAGGAAGGAACAATTCTTCCGGTTTCTTTGGCCAATGTTGCTTAATGATATCCTATATTTTCCATCAAAAAAAATTATCAGGGATAGTTACAATTTTGATCTCTATATTATACACCTTTTCTTGATTTTGGTTCTTAAATTTTTTTTTGGCACGAAATTGGTCCTGAAATAACCAGTTCTTTTTACAATTTTCGTCCACTGTTTGAAATTGTTGTTAGTTTGGATGGAAAAATAACTTGCGTGGTAACCCCTTCTTTTTTACTTATGTTGTTAATTTAACCCCAATATCACTTTATTCTTATAATTTCGTCCAAATAAAATTAAATTCGAGAATTGTACTAAAATTGTGAAATGACAAAATTCCATACGAGAATTTCTAGGAATTAGTACATTATTTTTTATTCACAAATATTATTTATTTCTTTATTTTTAAATATTTTTAATCAAAAAACACTATCACTAATTTGATCATGTCAAATTTTAATTTTGTAAAATAATTTATTTCATTATTTGTAATTATTAATATGTAAAAAATAATTAAACATATGTTGTAATTTCAGATCACGTTTTTAGTCTTGTATACAATAATGTGCATGATCACGTGCCTCACACGTGACTTTACATTCCAAACTAACATCAATTTCAAACAATTGGCGGAAATTATAAAAAAAAAACTGGTTAATTGCAGAAAAAGTTTTTTTTTTTTTTTATCATAATTGAAGAAAAAATTCAAGGACCAAAATAAAAAAATAAAATAATATAGGGATCAAATCTACAATTATCCCCTAATTTCTACGCCTAAATCTAAATATCCACGCCCACTGATGGTTTCCATCATGCAATTCCAGACTCTAATTATCACAAAAGAATTTCCCTATCAACTTTTTCAATTTTTTCTTTCCACCATTTTTACCATCCATCAATTCCACTTAGAATAGTCACAAAAATAAACAAACCTTCAAATTCTCATTGCAATTCATTCAAAACACACTATGAATTTAATTTTAATTTATTTTTTTCCTGTGTTCAAGTGAGAGATTAGGCAGATTAAATAGTTAGATATTATAATGATCATCCAAGAAGATTATCCAGAGCTTGTTTTCATATTCCTCACACTCTTTTCTTTCTGTGCAAGATTCTGTACACCACAAACCAACAACAACGCAGCAGCAAGAAACACATGCGAGAACTCCGCCAGATGCGGAGCTTTCGGCATCTGCAACTCACAAGGCTCCCCAATTTGCACTTGCTTACGTGGATTCCAACCTCTGAACAAGCAAGAATGGGATTCCGGGAACTGGACCGCAGGGTGTTCGAGAAAAGTCCCCTTAGAGTGCAGTATCGAAAACAATAATAATAACAATACTAGTAGCCGTAACGGGACGAAAGAAGATGGATTCTTGAAGATAGAGATGATTAAAGTTCCCGGTTACGCGCAGCGATTGCTCGTGCCCGAAACCGAGTGCCCGAAGCAGTGCTTGATGAACTGCTCTTGCATAGCTTACGCTCATGATTCTGATCTCGGGTGTTTGTTTTGGAATAGTACCTTGTTCGACATTCAGAAATTCCCTAGTGGATCGGGTTCCGATCTTTTTTTCCGTGTCGCGAATTCTGAACTTGGTAATTTAGATAGAGATGCTTAGTGGTTTTGAGAGATTGTGCTGGTTTTATTAAGCTTCCTTTGGTTGTTTTTTTATTTGTTGATGCAGATCATAAGAAAGACTTGAAGAAAATCGTAATAGCTTTGGTTATAATCGGCGTAACTCTTTTGTCTATATGCATGTATTTTTCGTGGAAAAGGGTAGTTAAGAAAAGAGGTATATATATGGTTACACTTTCAGTTTCTACTAATATTAAATGAGTATTTACAGCTGTCGGCGCTACTTAATTCGTATGTTTTCTTTGTCAAATTAGGCGAAAATAGAGCCATTGTGCTCGGAAGAGCGGAAGCATCAGAATCACTCGATTCGTCTCTTCAAGACACGTTAAGTAGGTTAAATCTTGAAGAATTACCATTGTTTAAATTTGATGTACTCGTAGATGCAACCGACAGATTCTCCAATGCTAACAAGCTTGGAAAGGGCGGTTTCGGCATTGTTTACAAGGTAAATGTTTTTTTTTCTTCCTTCCGTGCTTGTATTAATTTTCGATTGTAACATTTCGTGCTTATATATACATTAGGGAGAACTGGTGAACGGAAGAGAAATCGCGGTAAAAAGGCTTTCTAAAGCATCGGGACAAGGGATAGATGAATTCATGAACGAAGTAGTGCTTATTTCTAAACTCCAACACCGAAATCTCGTTAGACTATTGGGTTGCTGTGTGGAGAATAACGAGAAGATGCTTATATACGAATACATGCCGAATAAAAGCTTGGATTTCTTTCTCTTCGGTCGGTTTTCAAACATCTTTTCTATCCCTTCTTCGATAATTTTGAGAAACGATCATCAGTTGTTCTATTTATATATGCGATATTATTTTTTATTCAGATCAATCGCAAGAAATCCTCGATTGGAGAAAGCGTTTAAACATCATCGAAGGCATTTGTCGAGGCCTTCTTTACCTTCACAGAGATTCGAGATTAAAGATAATCCATCGAGACCTCAAGCCCAGTAACATATTGCTGGATAATGATTGGAATCCGAAGATTTCCGATTTCGGGATGGCGAGAATTTTCGGAAGCAACCAAGATCATATCAGCACTGTAAGAGTTGTCGGAACATAGTAAGCGATCGCACATATTATTATATTTGATCCATTTTATATTATTTTATCGGTATATATAAAACTTTAAGAATTTAATTGGAGCATGCAGCGGATATATGGCTCCCGAATATGCAATCGAAGGAAAATTTTCCGAAAAATCTGATGTTTTCAGCTTCGGGGTGTTGATGTTAGAGATTGTTTGCGGAAGAAGGAACACGAGCTTTTACAATCACGAAACCTCTGCCAATCTCTTAGGACATGTATGTATGTATGTCTCTACCTTAAATTTTATATGTCTTGTTGTCGTATATTTATTTATTTATTTTCTCCGAAAAAAAAGGTGTGGAAACTGTGGAGTGAAGACGATGTAGGAGAATCGATAGACGTAAGAATATCGAGTCGAAGTTATCGTACAGAAGTGGTGAGATGCATACAAATAGGATTACTGTGTGTGCAAGAACTGCCTAAAGATAGGCCTTCGGTTTCGAGTGTGCTCTCAATGCTTAAGAGCGGAATAGCAGAGCTTCCGGAACCTAAACAAGTTGCATTTGCGTTGAATTCAAATAGTAGTTCGAATACGAGGGCAAGTTCTTCTCAGCAGAGTCAAAAGAGTAGTGGCTCTGTGAATAATGTTACTATCTCCGTCGTTGACGGTCGATGAAATATTCGTAGTTGTCTCGAAGAAGATTGTGAATACAGAGAGTGGAATATACATAGGGATTTCTTAGCTTATGTATGTATTTATGTATAGGCTTGTGTACGAGGAGGTTCAAGATCGGTCATCTTTATTAATTTAGGTTCAGTTTTTTTTCTCTCTTTTGCGCGTAAGCTCACTCGATCAACATGTATTGGAGTTTATTGCATATAGTAAACATGTGTTATATCGAATTGCTAAAGAATTCCTCGCGTTATAATTATTAACAAAAAATCCCTTATAATGCAAATTTTAATTGAGTTTTTAGGGGTACTTTGCTAAAACAAATATTTTTTATATGGGGAGTTCCTGCTAATAAAACAACAGAAGAAGTTTTTTAGCAATTAGAGAAGACACGGAGGTGCCCAGCCCAATGCAATAAATCGAGCGAAATGCATTTAGTATCCATGTGAAAATCGCAATTGTGTGATTCCCCTGTCATAAATAAATTAGCAAATACCCCCGTATATTTAATTTTAGATTACATACTCGACCAATTTATCTTTTCCCCATAGACCATTGCAAAAGGACAAAAATAACCTGAGAGGTTTTTGCAAAAAGAAAAGCCTCATCCATTAAATATGTAAAAACTAAGGAACCAAATTGAATTTTTAAAAAGATACAGAAATTTAAAGAGGTCAAATTGCAATTTTCTAAAACATAATTTAAAGAAAGTCATCATTGTCTTCACAGGAACATATACGTAATTTCCGAAATTTTGGAACAAAAATTGAAACCCAAAAAAACAGAAGGGCATATTACAAATAAGCCCATCAGTGGGAACTTATTCATAAAGAGATCCAGACAATATTCTCCTTTACCAATAAGTCCACACATGGTCCAGATTTATGTAAAGGACTAAAATAACCCCTCTTACTTTAATATGCTCCAATTTCATCCTTAACTTACTTTAACTTCAATTTGACCCCAACTTTCACAAATTATTCAATTTTGACCCAAAACTTTTTTTTTTTCACAAATTTTTTTTTTTTCAAAAACTTTTTTTTCCCGCCGGATTCCGGCGTTGACCGGCGGTCAACGCCGGTCTCCGGCGTTGACTTTTTTTTTTTTTTTTTTTTATTTTTTTTATTTTTTTTTTTCCTTCCGGATTTTTTTTCCGGATTCCGGCGTTGACCGGCGGTCAACGCCGGTCTCCGGCGTTGACTTTTTATTTTATTTTTTTTTTTATTTTTTTTTTCTTCCGGATTTTTTTTCCGGATTCCGGCGGTCAACGCCGGTCTCCGGCGTTGACTTTTTAAATTTTTTTTTTTTTTTTTTTTTTTTTTTCTGTAACTTTTTTTTCCGTTTAAACAGCAATATTGCTGTGAATGACAGTAATATTAACTATATTGCTGTTAAACACAATAAAATTAACTAAACTATAGTTTAACACATTGATATTGCTATATTAATCTCTAGCACATTAATATTAACACAACAAAATTCATTATTATTGTATAATAAAGTAATATTACTATGTTGTCCGTTCAACAAATGTAAACAAAATAAAAAAAACCAAAAGAATTAATATTACTGTGAGTGACAGTAATATTACTATAGCAACAGTAATATTACAATAGTAGACAGTAATATTATTACGTTACTTCGTGAATAACTCGAACAAAACAAACACCCCAAAAAAATAATAATATTGATGTTGTTGACAGTAATATTATTGTGTTTACAGTTATTTTACTGTCAACGACAGTAATATAATTACGTTGACTTGTCAACAAATCAAAAAAAATAAAAAAAAATAATAATAAATAAAAAAATATAATATTGCATTAATTTACTGTCAACGGCAGCACAATTACATAAATGTAATGTCAACGGCAGTACAATTACGTTAATTAACTATCATTGACAGTATAATTACGCTAAATTACTGTCAGTGACAGCACAATTACGGTCAACGTGTAGCGGCGGGCGTGGAAAAACAAAACAAACCAAACAAAAAAAAAAAACTTAAAAAAACACTAAAGAAAGAGACCGCCGGAAACCGGCGAAAAAATCCGGAAGAAAAGAAAAGAAAAAAAAAAAAAAGAAAAAAAAAAAAAAAAAAAAAAGTCAACGCCGGAATCCGGAAAAAAAATCCGGAAGAAAAAAAAAAAAAAAAAAAAAGTTTAAAAAGTCAACGCCGGAATCCGGCGGCAAAAAAAAGTTTTTGAAAAAAAAAAAATTTTTGAAAAAAAAAAAAAATTTGGGTCAAAATTTAATAATTTGTGAAATTTGGAATCAAATTGAGATTAAATTAAGTTAAGGATGAAATTGGAGCATATTAAATTATACTCCAAAAAAAAGTCAAAATTGAATTTTTGTGGTCAAAATTGAACTTTTATGGACAAAATTGATTAATTTGGATTACAATTAAGAATTGGGTATAAATGATTGAGGGTAATATTGGGATATACATGAATGTTTCCTTTAGTTATAATAAATATTAAAGGGATGGGCTTATTGGTGAAAGAGATATGTCCCCTATACCTAGAATAATAAACATGCTTGGTTGGGGACTTTTGCATAAAAATCCCAAAAAAGAATTGATTTTTTTTTTCTGAAAAAGTCATTTCTCCGTCCGATTTTCACTCGTGATAAATTAAAATTTCAAATTTGAAAAAATTAAAAAAATTGCAAAATTCGTTGTAATTGACTCAAGAAATTAATGGAATAATAATCTCAAATTAATCTGGCTTGGAGGGACCGGGTGGTTTCGGCGCTGAATATTTCAGAGCTTGAATTTCCATTAATGTCAAACTTCTTTCAAATATCGCTTTCTACAGTTCCGCTGACAATAACTCTGCAATTAATTCAACTACTTACCTTCAAAACCTACTGATAATAATTTCATTTGTTCTGTTGTTCCAAAGAGAGAAACAATATCATGATCATCCGAATCAAGACTCTGAATCATCTATCTGCATTCATATTCATCACACTCTTTGCTTTCTACCCAATAATTTGCGGAGCACAAGGCAACAACAACACCACAATTACAAATTCTTGCGAAACCTACGCCAGATGCGGAGCTTTCGGCAGCTGCAACTCACAAGGCTCCCCAATTTGCACCTGCTTACGTGGATTCGAACCGCGGAACAAGCGAGAATGGGGTTCCGGAAACTGGACCGCCGGGTGTTTGAGAAAATTCCCCTTAGAGTGCCGTATAGGAAATAATAGCAGTAGTAGTGGTAATGTTAATGGGGGAAGAGAAGATGTGTTTTTGAGGGTAGAGATGATCAAAGTTTCGGGTTACTCGCAGCGTTGGCCCGGCCCGAAAAGCGAGTGCCAGAAGATGTGCTGGATGAACTGTTCTTGCTTAGCTTATGCACACGATTATAATTTCGGGTGCATGTTTTGGAATAGTACCTTGTTCGACATTCAGAAATTCCCTAGTGGATTGGGTTCCGATCTTTATTTTCGTGTCGCGAATTCTGAACTTGGTAATTTGACTTGGTTTTTCGGTTCTTGATTTGATATAGACATACTTGTTAGTGTATTTTCAGCCCCGTTTTTTAATTGTTGAGATGCCCTTTTGAAAGATTGTGCTGATTCGGCTTCCTTTGGTTGCTGCTGCGTTGATGCAGAACACAAGAAAGACTTGAAGAAAATCGTAATAGCTTCGGTTATAATCGGGATTTCTCTATTGTCCTTATGCATGTATTTTTCTTGGAAATGGATGTGTAAACAAAGAGGTGAGAGTACAGATTTTCAGTCCCATGAATAAAACCGATATTTTCGGCTTTCACTACTTAGTATATTTTTCTTGTTAATTAGGCGAAAAAAGAGCCGTCGTGCACAGAGGAGAGAGAGAATCAGATTCAATTAATCCGTCTGTTCAAGAAACATTAAGTAGGTTTAATCTTGAAGAGTTACCATTAATCAAATTTGAGGTTCTCGTAAATGCAACTAACAACTTCTCGAATGCTAACGAGCTCGGAAAGGGCGGTTTTGGCATTGTTTACAAGGTAAATGTGTTTTCTTTCCTTATATATTTATATATACATATATATGTATGCGATTATAAAAATTCGTTGGGTGCAATTACTTTAGGGAGAAGTGGCGAATGGAAGAGAAATCGCGGTGAAGAGGCTCTCGAAAGGGTCGGGACAAGGGATGGATGAATTCATGAATGAAGCGTTGCTTATTTCTAAACTCCAACACAGAAATCTCGTTAGACTATTGGGATGTTGTGTGGAGAATAACGAGAAGATTCTTATATACGAATACATGCCCAATAAGAGCTTGGACTTCTTCCTCTTCGGTCGGTTTTCAAACATCTTTAGTTTCTATCTCTTGTTCGACAAATTTGAGGAAACTCATCACTTGTTCTGTTTATATATGCAATATTATTTTTTTATTCAGATCAATCACAAGAAATCCTAGATTGGAGAAAGCGTTTAAACATAATTGAAGGCATTTGTCGAGGCCTTGTTTACCTTCACAGAGATTCGAGATTAAAGATTATCCATCGAGACCTAAAGCCCAGTAACATATTGCTGGATAATAATTGGAATCCGAAGATTTCCGATTTCGGGATGGCTAGAATTTTCGGAACCAAGCAAGATCATATCAGCACTGTAAGAGTGGTCGGAACATAGTAAGCGATCGCACATATTATTTGATCAAATATTTCATATTATTTTGTCTATATACAAAATTTGATAGTTAAATCGCGGTTTTCTTGCAGCGGAAATATGGCACCCGAGTATGCAATCGGAGGAAAATTTTCGGAGAAGTCCGATGTTTTCAGCTTGGGAGTATTGATTCTTGAAATCGTCTGCGGTAGAAAAAACACGAGCTCTAACAATAATGAAACCTCCGTCAACCTCTTAGGACATGTACGTACGTCTACTTTAAATCTTGAATATGCAAACTTGAAAAGACAATAATTTTTCATATATATATATTTCTTTTTCTCCGGAAAAAAAAGGTGTGGAAAATGTGGAACGAAGACAAGGTTGGAGCGTTGATAGACGTAAGAATATCGGGTGAGAGTTGTCGTACAGAAGTGGTGAGATGCGTACACATTGGATTACTGTGTGTACAAGAACTGCCTAAAGATAGGCCGTCGGTTTCGGGTGTGCTCTCGATGCTCAACAGTGAAATCTCAGAGCTTCCGGAGCCGAAAAACGTTACATTTGCGTTAAATTCGGACCCATTGAATACGAGAACATTTTTTTATCAGCAGAGCCAAGAGAGTAGCGGCTCCATAAATAATATTACTCTCTCCGCTGTTGATGGCCGATGACAATTGACAAATATGTATGTATATATTTTTCTAATCATTTATAAAAATAATATATAAAAGAATAATAAACATTGGGATTAGATTAGATTAGATTAACGCCGGATTAGCTCATCCTTGCACGATCGCGACCCTTTGTTCCGGCCATTGTATTATGGTGTTGGTTGTAAGAATTTTAATTTTTTTTTTATTCATCATGAAAATTAGGACATTATGCAGAGGCTTTAGTTCCAAATTTGATTGTTTTAATTGAAATCAGCTGAATTCAGATTTATTTTTTATATTTCCACTTACAATTTAATATATATAATTGATACAGCCCATTATGCCTCTACTATAATATGGTGTGCTTATTTTAGTTAAGACCCAATTTAAAGGAATAAAAACTTATAACTCCAAAGAAAAGCCCAACCACAGTCATCTTTATGGTGGGCCAGAGATGGGACACATAAGATATTATAAGGTATATATCGAATTGCAATCTGGACAGAGTTTTATGAACGGAAAAAGAAGTCAAGGCAAGAATTAAATTCTTTCTCCGTAAGATATTATTGATCCGTATTAGTACGTACTAATGGTTCTAGTCAATTGCCTAAAGATACAAGGACTAGTGGGTATTCGAGTTTGCAGCACAACAAGGCTTGAAGTACAGGCGAACAAAACCGAGAGCTTTGAACTTTCTAAACACGAAGAAATGAACTTGATAATGGCAACAATATGCAACGAAATGTTATGATGAGAAATAAATTTAATTAATGTATTGAATTCCATGTGGAAAAATGAATTAATGAATGATTCAAATGGTGGATTTTATAATCTATTTATAGATCTTCGAAGGTTATGACCACAAGTCACAACTCTTGGGAAAATGAGCATTTGATAATGCACCACACCTTTTCACATTATTAAACACCTATTTATCAAAGGGTGTTTAAACAACTACATGTTTTTCACCACTATTCACCACTTCATTTTTCATGTATTATTTAAAGTAATTTTATTAATTTCTCATTCATTAAAAAATAATTTTAATAGACTAAATTTACTCCACTTAAATAATCAACTAAAAATTGAGCCAACACTCAAAATTTCCAACAATCTCCCACGTGAATGAGATTAATGCATGCATGTGACACTTTGAAAGTCCAAACGAACTGTTATTGCATAGGGCGAGGTAGCTTGTAACTTTGAACCTTCCTTAGTAAAATGTTGTCGGATTTACTCGCTGCTTAGTGAACGCGATGTCTTACTAATCAGCCTTTTGTGTAAACCAAGTCAACAACACTTACACAATAATAATTCTAGCTCCTTTGGTTCTCACGGCGTGTCCATTTCGGCATTGGACCATATCTCGGATTCATAAGTGTTTCTCATTTGAAGCGGTTCCACTTCTCACTTATATAGGTGACTTCCTATTAAGAGTATCACGCACTACTCCACCATATAGGTATAAGAATTATTAAAAATCCTTTGATTTGTTCCAAGTACTTGTTTGAATATTCATAACTTAATTGTCCAATTAAACCAAGATTCTGGGATCTTCAACCAACAAAGTTGGTTTATCATTATGAACATTCTTTATTAGTGGATTTCAATCCCATTCCCCTAGATATGCAGTAATTTGATCTCTTGGTTGTCCATTCGTCAATGGATTTACTAAATTAATACTTTTCGATTTTCACATGATGAACATAGATTGTTTGCGATCAACTGTCTAATGGTGTTATGTCTTTGGTCGAGACTTTACCATTTTGTATTGTTTGTACAGTCGACAACTAATACAATTATTTACAAACACCAACTAAGTCCATCACATAATATCTTCTAGAAAATTATGGAGTTATTCGGTTTGTTCTTTAGCTTTCTCCCAAACTATAACTCAAATTGATCGAATAAATTCAAGAACGACCTCAACGTCAATATAAAAGCCGAAAGAAGCCGCCCAACACCGCCGCCACTGAAAATTGAAATTGGGTCAACATAATTCATCAAGAAAACCCAACAAGAATTATAAGAAACCAAATGGAAGAAACAAAATTCAAATCATCAAAAAGAATAAAAAAAACTAAAAAATAAATAATCCCCCCACGATTGGCCGCAATGGGCCCATGTTTGAATGTGTACCCAAGAAATAAAAATAAAATAAAATAATAAACTCTTTCAGGAATGATTGATTCTATTGGCTGAACCACGCATTTATAATTTATAGTGCATCATCATTAGCCAATCACAATTGCATGTAAAACACACACACACACACCACACCCACAACTGTGTGTTTCTCTCTCTCTCCCTCCCGTTGACTCTACGTCACTCCGCCATTAAAATAACCTCTCCCACAGTCCCAAAATCCAAGCTTTTCTCGACCATATTTACATCAAAGAACAATCTTCGGAAACTCCGATGAATTTTCCCCGCCGTCCCATCACGATTTCCGCGCTCATCTTTTTGTTGACCGTTTTGCCCCTCGCCTTTCCCAAAGAGACATCTTCAAGCACCGACCACCAATTTCCCCGGCCATTGATCCTCGAAATTAATGAATCCCACCACTTGAAAAAATCGCCGGCCGCCGAAGAATCCGAATTGCAGTGCACAAGCTGGCGGGTGGCTGCGGAGGCGAATAATCTAAGCCCATGGAAGAAAATTCCAGACGAGTGCGCTGATTACGTGAAGGAGTATATGGAATACAAGGGTTACGAAATTGATCTTCAGAGGGTTTCTAATGAGTCCGTACTGTACGCAAGAACCCTAAATTTGAGTGGTTCGGATGGTAAATTTTCGTGGGTTTTTGATGTGGATGAAACCCTGCTTTCCAATCTTCCCTATTATGTTGACCATGGTTATGGGTAATACTAATTTAAAAAAAAAAAATTAATTTTTTTTTGTTTTGTTTCGATTTGTTCGTTTATTGGGATTAATGATTGTGTGGGTAATTTTGTAATTTTGTTGTAGGTTGGAAATATTTGATGGTGAGAAATTTGATGAGTGGGTTGAAAAGGGTGAGGCCCCTGCTTTGAAGTCTAGTTTGAAGGTTTATGAAGAGGTTCTAGCGTTGGGGTTTAAGGTTTTCTTGTTGACCGGTCGGAGCGAAAGGTTCCGGAATATTACGGCCCGGAATTTGGTCCGGGCTGGATTTCGGAATTGGGATAAGCTCATTTTGAGGTGAGTTTTCGAGATTGTTTTATACTATAAACTTTTTATCTTGGTAACATTTTAAATGCTTAGCATTTCCTAATAAAATACGAAATCTCGTCTAGTGATGAAAGGAAGCTATACGATCTTTTATTTTATCTTGTTGGACTTATTTAGTGAAGTTGTCGTGAAATTATCTACGAAGGATTAATCGTGCCGTTTGTGTAAAGAGTTTGGCTGGAATTTTACAATTATGAAATGCTAACGCGTGGTGGTTGCTATGTTATGTGTTCCACTTAAAAGTCCCGACATCGATAGATGCTTTTAACGACACTCTGTCTTTTGGTGTATTTGTGTCTTCGTTAAAATGTTGTCGCTATCGCTCGTGGATTCTATATTACGTTACAATCGTTGAGCACTAATTGCCCCATTGTTTGAAAAGAAACTAGATAATAATGTACATATTTTTTTCTTTTCTCGAATCCTTCATTAGTATACTCATTTATTGGCATCGGGTGCTCATTTATACACTTGACATATATATATATATATATATATATATATATATATATATATATATATATATATATATATATATATATATATATATATATGCTACATTGCATGTGTCTCGAATTAAGATGATTGCAACTGTTTTCGTGTAGGCCTTAATCCTCGCTTCGGTGTTTTTTTTCTTAACGGAATAAATTAAGTGATCGCATTTAGTGTTTCATGTGCACATGTCAACTGTTTCGGGTTCTTCGGGACCCAAATTTCATGATGTTTCTTGTTATATTATATCATGGCATCTTATCCATAAATGTTGGCTAATAATTAATTTTTCTAAACTTTTTTAATTGATTGATTTATTAAACATTATTGGCAAACCTAATAGTACGAGTTCGAAATGTGCAGATCGACAGAGGATAACGGAAAAACAGCGATAAAGTACAAGTCAGGAAAGAGAAACGAGCTCGTGCAAGAAGGTTATAAAATATTGGGGAATTCGGGAGATCAATGGAGTGATTTATTAGGTACTTCCATTTCCGAACGTTCGTTCAAGCTTCCCAATCCAATGTATTATATTCCTTAACCAGACACTAATCTTGTCTGAATACTTTCTGGTTCAATGTGAACTAGGAAAAAAAATTGTATTATATTATATATTTATATATTATTATTTTATATATTTGGCTGTGGAATGCATCAAACTTCTGAAAGATAATATAGATTGAGTTTTAGTTTTGTTTGATAATTTAGAAAATATGGAGTAATGACAAAAGGAATAATTCAAGATTTGACAATGTTGGTATTTTATATATATATATATATATATATATATATATATATATATATATATATATATATATATATATATATATATATATATATATATGTAAAACTAGACATTGTTTGGAATTTATATGATTTATATGCTGCATATTGAAAACAAATACTTTTGATGAATTTAGCTAAAAGTCCTTGAGATGTAACTTCCTTAACAATAAGGACAACGGATTTTTTTGGTTTCAATAAAAGTTCGTTCGACATTTATTTTTGTAATAAAAATGTCCTCACACTTTTATAAACTAGTTAAATAATTACATGTGAACAGTGTGGGGGCGCGTCGTCAGTTTACGATCGAAATTTACTATCATCCCTTAATTTTCTCTACGAGCTTCTTTTAAAAAAAACGAAAAAAAAAAAACATATTCATCATGGGGGGAAAAAGATAGCAAATTAAAGCTATTTGGTTGGGTCAATAACACAACTAATTACTATGATTTGCAATAATGAGGGCACCAACTTCTTTTTGTAAGTTGTTACAACTTACAATACCTAACTTAAATGTAAATAACACCTAACTTAAATGTATATATGATATTATGACTAATTGGGGCTAGAGGAAATAGGTTGTTAGAAATTTAGGATTTGTTTGTGTGAATATAAAATGTCGATGCATTATATTTTGATCAAATTTTCAATGAAGTAAATATCAAATTTCAAATACTTTTGTGTGTAACACATTATCATTTAGGGATGAATAAGAGAATTCTAACTCGGTATAGTGTTTGCAAAAACTTTTAAAAATAGATTACGAGCATTTTCTTCTACATAATCTGTTTTTAGGTGTTTGCAAAATCGACTTTTGTTTTTGCTTCTCTTAAAATAAGTTCTTTTAAGTTATAATTTTAAAAGCACACATGTACCTGTTTTTTCTATGTAAATTGATTTTTCAGATTTTTGCAAACAACCACGACTTTTAGAATTAAGCACTTAATATCAACTTAACTCACAATCGCTAACTTATACTATTAAATAAGCTTTTGCAAACACCACATAAGTCAACATTTGGGGGCCTAATCAAACCCCATCCAATGAGTTTGAACATTAACTTAGTTACAATATTATCAAATTTCGAATATAAGAAAATTCGAATTCTTACTGTATTTAAAATTTATTAAATTTCTTGTTACAAGCATTAGAATTACTAAAATATTATATTTCGCATGTATCAAAATATGTGTCAACTCAACTAACATATAACACAGCTACTCGAACTACTTGTTCCACCAAGTGGAAGACCAACTTAAAGGAAGATCACAAAAAAAGACTATTTTACTCGGACGAAAACCATGGAATGAGTAAACATGCCCATTAATTATATTTCTCTTATTTTGATGTTGCAAGAACAAAATGACAAGTTATTTTTGCAAAACCAAAAAAAAAAAATATATTGCAAGATTAGACACAACATAATCCATCACTGTCGGAGCAAAACTCACCGCCGCCAGAATCGAGCAATCCTTCATAATTACCGGAGCAAACCGTCCAATACCAACGCCTAAACAAAACCTTCAACAATTATGGTTTTCGAAATCTCAAAAATTGCAAAAAAAAAACAAACGGAAGGGTTTTTTTTGTAGCAATCGACCTTTTCCGATTTTTTTTTCGTCAAAATGTCATTAAAAAGTCTCTATGAACACATAGTTGTGTCCTTATGTTGAACAAATCGACGATTTAAGGATACAATGGATGCTTTTTTTTATTTTTTTTTGAAATCTATCGAACCCAGAAAATTGACCTGCAAATGTCGTTTTTTGTATGGTTGGTCGACATTTGTAGCGATTTTGTGCGTAAATTTTTCGACGTGTCAATTTAAATGTTGAATTTCTGCTAGTATTCTCGACATTCAGATGTCGATATTTGACTGTTTTTCTTTTGGCAATATAATCGACACGTAGGAGTCGATTTTTGCGACAAAAATGGATCTGCAAATGTCGGCTCTGCGCGGGATTGTTTCCCCAAAACGAACAAAAATGGTCACCTAACTAAAAAACACACTTAATACGTATTTCTTTTTGCTATTATTCTACGGTTAGAGTCTTTCTTTTCGCTATCGCATTTCTTCGAGACTAATTGTAGAAGATGCTTCATACTTAACGTAATTATTAATTAGAGACAAGTTTACAAATCAATTTATTATTTACTTATATAATAACAGATCGAAAGTTGGGTCAAATTGAAAATGACATATAATTGATCGTACAAGAAACAATAAAATAGGTCAACTAAAAGGATCTGGATTCCTAAATCTGCCAACAATATGAATTTTGTGCTATATTTTAATTTCATTTTATTAAAATATATTTAGAAGAAAATAAATAAATAAATCAAGTCTAAAGGTGCTGAAAGAAGAATTTAAAACAGTTTCATGAAAATAAAAAATTAAAAAAATTACAGTTTCATTTTGAGTGAAGGAATGAGAAAAAAAAAATAAAAAAAAAATGGTCAATTGGCCATGGTTTTTAAAGAGTTTTAAATAATTTTTTTTTATTTAAATAATAACTTGCTGACATATCATTTACTCCATTAATTTAGATAAGGGTAAATTACAGCCACCCCTGAGGTATGGTCAAATTACGAAAAATCCCCTCTTGTTTGGATAATTACAATCGTCCCATCAACTCCTCAAATTTAGTGGAATCTTCCAGATTATATAGAATATTATGACTTTTGTACCAGTTTTATCCCATTCGAACACTACAATTTGAAGCAAGATGATCATAATATGTGTTTTTTGACCTGTTTTTATCAGATTGTGGTGCATCAGAAACTGTATTTTTACACAAAACGAGTACAAACTAAAGCACATTCCACGAAATCTAGATAATTATGTTGAGTATGACACTATAAGGGTGGAGGTGTAAAAAAAATCATAGTTGAGGGGTAAATATAATTATCCGAACAAGAGGGGTTTATTTGTAAATTGACCATACCTCAGGGGTGTTTGTAATTTACCCTTTAGATAATTATATCTTAAAAAAATAGCAGAAACATTATTAAATTAAAAATAATTTATTTCGAGACAAGACAAGACAAGTGTGCGTGCCCCCCTGTGTGGTATAAAACTGAACTATATGCAACCTCAGCAAAACCATTTTCACACTTTAAAAAACATCAATTTGATTTCTCTCTCTTCTCTCTCATCTCTCTCTCTCTCTCATCAGACGCACATAGATTTCTCTGCTACTCTTCCGAAATTACATGGCGCAAATTAAAATCAATCTGCCGAATTTCCTATTATAAACCCCAATCGGAGTTTCACAAACTTCGAAAAAAAAAGCATTTACCGCCTTTTTTTCTCTCACTTCCCATTTCAACTTCATTTTCTAACGCCATTTCCAGATCTTGGGCCCTCCTAATTTTTCCAGCAAATTCATAAAGATTCAATCTTTACCCAAAAAAAAAAAAAAAAAAAATCAAGAATGAATTACAAACAAAAGCTAGTGTTGATTATAGGGCTAACCTCACTAACAGCATTCTTCACAATTCTTTTACTACTCACAGTATTGTGTTGTACAGGGAGAAGGGTAAAAGGGGAAAATGTTTCTAGAGATGCAGAATCACCGTTTGAGCAGAAAGAAGGGGATAATGTGGTGAAGGCCGAGGGTTTGATAAGTTACCATGGCGGTGAGGATCTCACTGCACATGAAATTCTTGATGCCCCTGGTGAAGTTATAGGAAAATCTAGCTATGGCACTCTGTACAAGGCTAGTTTAGTCAATTCAAGCTCACTTGCTCTGCTGAGGTTCTTGAGGCCTACTTGTACACTGAGGGCAAAAGAGTCATTACCTATTGTGGAGTTGCTTGGGTCAATTAGGCATCCCAATTTGGTGCCTTTGATTGCATTCTATGGAGGGCCTAAAGGGGAGAAGCTTATGGTTCATCCCTTTTATGCCTCTGGAAATTTGGCTCATTTTATCAAATGTAAGTTTCTTTTGCTAATGTGCGCCTTTTTTTTTTGGTAAATTACGGCCATCCCTTGAGGTAAGGTTAACTGTATTTCGGTTATTTTACCGACCCAAATCGTATATTTTGGTTTTATGAAATTTTTGCATACAAAAATGTCGGTACGATTTCATCGAATGAACACCCCTAAATTTATATTATGGAGGTGTTTTTCGTAAGAAAATACACAGTTGAGGGGTAGTTGTACTTATCCAAACATGAGGGTTTTTTCGTAATTTAACCTTACCTCAGGGGGTTTGCCGTAATTTGCCCTCTTTTTTTCTTAAATATAATTTTTGAAGAAATATTATGTGAATCTTGATTTTGATGGGATTGCTTCTATTTTTCAAGATTGTAGCTTTAACAAAAAGAGATGGCACTGAATTTTCCTAAATTTAGTGAATATAATTGGACGTGAAGATGGACCGTTACCGTTATCTTTCGCTGTCTTGATATCTGAATAAAGAAACGATATTTGTCATGTTGGGTATGAAATAAATATTACATATTCTTTTAACTTTGTCTGAAAAATTATTGTGAGCTGTTTGGACAAAGACTAAATGTGTGTTGCTATCTGGCTTTATTTATATGGCAATTGTCTTTGTCTGGTCTGAAATCTGAATACACACACTCTTTCACATGTGTTGATACTGTGACATATCTTGTTGCATAATTGGATATTATTTTACTTTAATGCATAATACAGTATTATCTTTAATGCACAGGTGGCAATGCAGAGGCTCGTAAATGGGCCGTTATATACAAGATCTCGATCGGCATTGCAGAAGGAGTTCACCATCTTCATTCATTTCAAGAAAAGCCCGTAATTCACGGAAATCTCAAGTCGAAGAATATTCTCTTGGATCGGCATCAAAATCCGTATGTGTCGGATTTTGGGTTACATCTTCTATTGAATCCAACTGCAGGGCAGAAAATGCTGGAAGCTTCCGCTTCTCAGGGGTACAAACCCCCCGAGCTGATTAAAATGAGGGACGCTAGCCGAGAGAGCGATGTATACAGCCTGGGCGTAATCCTTCTCGAATTATTAACCGGAAAATTGCCGATCGAAGAAAACCCTAATCCGGATCAAGATTTTTATTTGCCGAGCGTTTTGAGGACTGCGATTCTTGATGATCGGATTATGGAATTGTACCATCCGGACATTCTTGTTGGCATGAGCAATGATCGGAGGGCAATTACGGAAGATCGAATTTTGAGATTTTTTCAACTTGCGATGGCTTGTTGTTCTCCGTCTCGTCTACTTCGGCCTGAAATAAATGAAGTCCTTGAAAAACTTCGAGAAATTGGAGAATAAAATCGAGATTTTTTTAGTGTATAAATGGCAACTATGCTTAAAGAACGCTTGGTCTTGTTACTTAAAAACCATTATTTTTGCCGTTCTTTTTTTCCAAAGCCGAAAGAGGTTTCTCTCATTCATCAATGTCAATCCAAGTTGGTAGAGCAATTATTTTGTGCAGCATTAGTTTTTAATGTTTTTCTTGGATTTTTTGTACAGTTTATGACCAAAGGTTGTGTATTAGTATTACACTCTGGAAATATAAAGTAGACTTCTTGTCCTCTCATACACAAATATCCACCCAAAAGAAAAAACAGAAAATTACATTTTTGGTTCATTTGGCTCGAAAAAATCAATCATTGGAAAATAAATTCGAAATTTTTGGACAAGAACTTGTGCCTAATACTCTGTTTAATCTTCCGAAAAATCGCAGCTGCAGTAGTAAGAATTATGTGCAAAGATGAAGAAGAATCATGTTGTAAGAATTTCTGGGGTGACAGTATAAACCGCCACGTCATCCAAATCGGGGGTCCTCACCGAGTACTGAAAAGTCCAACCGTGGCATGCGCCAGCATGGACGCCATTTTTATCCACTGCAAAAACAGCTCCTACAAAATCTGGATATTTTCTTGCAATTCTTGAAATGGAATCTTCTGCAGCAAGCTTCGGTTCCATGCCTAATCTCATACTTTCAACCACTTGATAGCTGGAAAAAAAAAAGAAAACAAATCGAGCGATAAATATTTAGCTGTTTGGAAATGGAAAAAACGAGAATCACACACTGGAAATAATTCACTTTTGATGTTACGAAGTTTGCAATTAAAAATTTAAATATACCAAGGAAGAAATCGCATCATAATATCGCCATCCCCAGTTGCACCACAAGCTCCAACTTCACTATCAGCATAAGCTGAAGATCCAGCAATTGCCCCGTCACCTACCCTACAAAGTACAAACAAACCCAAGTTTTATTTTATTACACATACAAATCCCATAAAAATAAGATCGCTAAATAAGTTTTTTGACTCAATTTATCCAGATTGTATCAGCGTAGTTTTCTAAATTTGCTCCCAAAGTCCTCCAGCTATAAACGAGGGTAATTAAATATTCGTCTTTAATGCATTTTTCTCAGGTACTTTGTTTAACGGAAACGGCAATAGATTCTTAACTTACGGGTTGCGTCGTAGCTGATTTTCGTTACTTTCCATTTATGTACAAGCATTTATTTCCATTTTTTTTGGTTTTTCCTTTTATATTTTTAGAAAGTCGTCATTACTTTACAAAGTTAACCCTAAATTTGCCTCCTCGTTTCTTCCAAAACACGACGGTCAAAGTTCAAAAAGAGTTCTATAAGCTTCTAAATTAATCTTAACAGATAACAAAAAATGTTGGACAACGTTTCAAATTATCTATAAGCATTTAACAATAACATACAACAAAAACTTTTACTACCTGCCCGGAATCTTGAAAGTGGCCCCGTTAGTTGATGTACCAACAGCTATGTCTCCATTCTGAAAAAAAGAGCAATTTACATAAAAATACAATATCTAACCACAAACGAAAAATCAACAAATTTATAATATTTAGAGGGAAAGTGTAGCTTACTTGGTCAATAACAGCCAATGATATCGTATCATGATTATGTACATCAAACTGGTAAGACAAAGATTCATCAAGACCATCTCTCTCTACATTCGAGCATGTTTTCTCATCGATGTTTGTACTACTACGGTAGGGACCACAATCATCGATCGGCAGAACATTTTTCCTAAAATTTGGCTGGCATTTATTTTTTTTCCAGTTCGTCCACTTATCTATAGATTCTTCGGAGCTTAGGTTTGTGGGGCCCGGAAGACCCATGGTAATAGCAAATATCGAAGCTTGCTCTCCGACAAGTATCGTGTGTTTCGTGTGCTGCATTACTAATCTTGCGGCTTTGATGCCGTCACTCACATATCTCATTGAAGCAACAGCTCCTACCTCCATCGTCACCTATGCATGTCTTAGCATATGCAAAATATAATAAATCAATTTTTTATCACTTTTTTTTAATCTTTCATTAAAAAGAACATATTAAACGACAAGGAACGGTAAATGATAATACCCCATTCATGATCATAGCGTCAATGGTGGTTTCTCCGTTCTCGTCTGGACTTCCACCCGGACCAACTGCTCATGAATATTTTTTACATCATATTTTTTTTTGTTTAATGGTATAATAACAATCATAGAAGATATTCGATCCGAATTGAAAGCAAAACTATCACCAAATTAACCACCGCATAATTCGAACATGCAATCTCGTCACTTGTGCTTTTCAACAGCTCACAGTGCAGATAGTTATTAGACGTGGAACCAACAGTTCAATCAATAACCGATCTAGAAATGCGATACGATATCTATTAGCGAACGGCTGTAAATATCTACCAACGCTAAGTTAAAACACTTTTTCGGACGAACAAAATTAAGGAAACGGACCGACTAATACAAAAGCTGCAAGAAAGTAGGATTCCCAATAGCTACATTAGAGTCGACATACAAAATTTCCACTGATTAATGAACTCGGGCTTTAAAGTTGCGTATAATACTTGCACGATTGTCCGTATGTAATATGCATGCGAATTGCGATTTTGGAGTAGCCGAAAACAATTAAAGATACATCCAAACTAATCTAAAATAATAAAAATTACGCAAAATGCAAATTCGATTTCCCAACCTGTACCGTCACATCTGAGTTCCTCACAAGCAGAGCAACCTTCGACGACTGAATCCACAGCCGAAAACCCACTATCGACACTCCTCCATGCTGATCTAACAGCTTCCAAGAAGGGCCAAGTGCTCACTACAATAGGCAATTTCCTACCACTCTTAATCCCATCTCCCAATACCTAATCAAATAAATATTTCACAGAACATCAATCCAATTCAAAATCAAAATGCAATAAAACGACAACAATGCCCAAATAAAACATCAAAATTTCTAAAATTGCTAGAAAATCCAGAATACTTGCAAGGATTTAGGTTTAACAAATAAAGTAAACAAAAAAAATTAGCAAAATAACGCGAATAATCATTTATATCATCGATGCACAAATCGTGAAGGTCGAGAGAAGTGTATTACCGCGGAGAAAAGAGTAGCGACGAAGAAAATAGCGACCAGAAATTTGTCGCAGTTGGTAGACATCACTCGGAGAGGATTGTTTTGTATCTGCGCGCAGAGTGGCCTGTAGAACATGTATGGTGTTTAGCATTTTACCCCCTCTAAATTTCAAATACAGTAAAATACTCCCACAACGAATTGGTTCTTGCAAATTGGACCATTTGTTTGAGTTGTTCTCAATTTTGCCCCGTATACTTGTTTGAACTTTGCACAAAAGTATTTATATACACTTACTTGACAATAGGACTGGAATATTTATTTTTTGTGGAGAGTGAAAAACTAATTTCAATTCTGTTAGAAAAATATTGTAAATGAAAATTCTGAAAATTGGAAATCGAAATAATCTTGAATTCTTGATTGATATTATAAGTGTAATTTTTGTAAAATGATGGTATTTAAGAAATCTTTTCAAAAATTAAAATTCGATTGGGAATTATAATTTCTAACTATTAATTCCAGAAAAGAAAAAAAAAAGTCATAAATCAAAAATAGGAGGTTTGGAAATTCATAATGCAAAATATCATTCATTTACAAAGGAAAGAATTGTGTGTAACTACTGATGCGTAGAATCAACCGATGTGACCATATATGAATTAACTAGAGATTCTTACCAGCATCGAAATTCATGATGTCGGAGTGGTTATTCGTTTGCGGTTGGAAATTGCTTTAATTTTCATTATTTTTGTTGCGTAAAAGAAAAAGGCTATCTATATGTGACCATCGGCGTCATCTCCGAGGGTCCCAACAATTATTAAATCACCGTTCGCAGATGACAATGGTGGAAAATAAACTATATCCGACTACTAATTATCGAGGGAGGGGAGGAATTGTGGACTAGATTGTTTCGATTTGTGACACCGTTGTTGTAGGTTGCTTTGTGATATTAAATCTTAATGTGACTGCTAATTATGGGATGATTGTATAGATCGTCGACGATGAGAGTACGGGTTGATTAGGGGTAGTTTTCTTTGAGAATAAAGATATTATGTGCAAATTAATCGCAATTATGTGACGAATTTTTAGGGGAAACGGGAAATGGGGAATAGGGTTGTTCATGGGTCGGGTCGGTTGATTATCGGCCGATTATCGGTCCGACCCGACCCGACCAGCCGACTCTTACAAATATGTAAAACCATTATCGGTCCGACTATTGTGAGTCGGGTACTGATCCAGCCCAGTATCGCTTGATAGATCCAATAAAGACCAAAGGCCCAAACAAGGTCAAAAGTAACCATTAAGCCCATTAACAGAAGAGGGCACATTAAACTGGTACTCGTTAGGCGAGAGGGACCAAGCAACGGGTCGCGAGTAACCCGCGAGCGAGAGGCTTCTCGCCGACTCGCTCTCTCGCCAAGCTTCTCGCCGCCAACCGGAGGTGATCATTGCTGCACATGGGGGTATTTAATGCACGTCTAATCTACTGACAAGCGCAGAGGAATGCCTTTTCGGCCCCCTACTTTTTGCCCCCGCAGCCGCCAATGAAATGACGGATTAAACTGCATTGAAGGTAATTTGGGGTCCGGATGCTTAATTACCGCGATGGGACAGGTAAATTAAATTGAAGAATATTTGACGTCCGTCCCTTTCTTTAGTATAAATAGGGGCAGTAAATACAGGTGAAACGACACGAAATCATATACATAAATTACACACATAAGCATAATACCTTCTTCAGGAAGTTACTGACTTGGCCGTCGGAGTGCTAACTTCGGCCTAAGTCCGGTTCTTTTCTTTCTTGTAGGTTTACCGTGGTCTCCGGTCCAAGTTCAGGCCTACTCAACTCTTTAAACCAGCCCACCACGAATCCAGTCAGCCCACCACGAATCCAGTCGGATCAAATGGCGCCGTCTGTGGGAAACCGTTGAGCAAAGTTGTAGCAACGTTTTCCTTTAAAACACCTTTATCTGTTTTCTGTTAATCAATATACCTATATCAATGGCCTCGTTCCCCAGCATAGTGAGGGATCTAACTAGTCAGATGGAGTCCGAGGTAACCCCAGCCCCGCCGGAGCACCAACCAGTCGTCGGAGAGGCCTTTACCACGAGAGAGGAGATGCCTCAAGCAACCGGCATAACAGGAGGTAGCCCTATGGTCGCCATGACTATGGAAAACCTGCAGGCACTCTTGGCGAGCGTTGTCCAGGAAGGCTCTGTTCGCACGCCAAAGGAGCCCGAGGCGCGTCGCCCAAAAGAAGGATGGGGGAGATGGTGGGGCGAGGGGGCGAAGGGCCTGGCCGCGCAAGTTCCTCGCTCGATGCATTAAGCCCTTTCTCAGCCGACGTTCTGGATGACGACCTGCCGCACTCATTTCGACCTGTCACTTACGAATACCTGGGAACCACCGACCCTTTCGAGCATCTCTGTCGCTTCAATAACACTTCGGATTTGCACCGGTTCACTGAGGGAGTGAAATGTCGAGTCTTCGCGACTACGTTGGCGGGAGCCGCACAAACTTGGTTCAGCCAGCTACCTGCTGGCACGATTAGCGGTTTCGACCAGCTAAGCGCCTGTTTTATGGATCACTTCGCGAGCTCAAAGAAACAGAAGAGGAGCACCCTGACTCTGTTCGCGGTCAGGCAGAGGGAGGGAGAGTATTTACGAAGTTTTATCAAGCGTTTCATCTCTGCCACCTTGGAGGTACCAATCACCTCGGAGGAAGTCTTGATCAGCGCTCTCGCTCAAGGGCTGCGGGCTGGCGATTTCTTCTCTTCGCTCTCGAAAAAGCCCCCCGCATCTTATAATGCTTTGCTGAAAAAAGCCGAGCGATACATGAACGCCGAGGAGGCAGTGCATAATAAATTTGGCGAGGGCAAAGGTAGCCACGAGGCGAAAAGGGAAAAGAAGGAGGATAGAATGCAGAGACCGACTCAACTCGCGAGAAGGGAGGTGCAGAACGAGAGAAAGATAGGACCTCGTTTTGACAGCTATGCAACGCTAGTCGCACAACCAGGAGAGATATTGTTGGCTATAGAGAATAACCCAAAGTTAAAGTGGCCCCGCACGTATGCAGAAGCACCGAAGAGAAGCCCCACGCTAGGAAGTTTCTGCCGTTTTCATAATGATTATGGCCACACCACCAATGAATGCCAGCACCTTCGTGACGAGATCGAGAGGCTTATACGCGCGAAGAATCTGCCAGAATTTGTGAAAGAAGGGAACCAGCGCCCGCAGCAGGCCCCAGCTCGACGTGCGAGCGAGCCTCGCAAACCTGAGCCGGGAAGGGAAAAACTGAATGAGAGGAAGGACCAGGTGGCGCCTGCCAACTTCATCAGCATGATTTTGGGAGGACCCTCAGGGGAGACTCCAACAGGGCCCGACGAGCGCACCTGAGGCAGTTGCGAGAGACTGAGGAGTTATTTGGAGAAATAGAGGAGGCAGATCGGGCAAGCCGTGCGCACCTCCGACGCTTGTGCGAGATGGAAGCTCAGCTCGAGGAGGTACAAAGAATATCTTATGTTCCGCCCATTATTTTTGGTCCGCAAGACGAAGTAGGAATCAGGCAGCCGCATTCTGATGCCCTTGTGATTACTGCCATGGTAGCAAATTTTGATATCGCGAGGATATTAGTGGACACCGGCAGTTTCGCTGATGTTATCTACTATGACTGTTTCAAAAAAATGAATATGAATTTCGAATTAAAGTATGTAGAGACAAGCTTGGTCGGGTTCTCGGGAGAGTCAGTTCGGTCAGTCGGAGAGGTATGCCTGCCCATTTCTCTAGGAATGGAGCCGGCACGAGCGACTCGTTCCGTAAAGTTTTTGGTGCTGGATGCGCCTTCTACCTACAATATCATATTGGGGCGACCATCCATGAACTCATTTCAAGCAGTAGTCTCAACCTACCATATGAAGCTAAAATTCCCCGTCCTAGATCAAATCGGGGAAGTCCGTGGGGATCAAGAGACCTCAAGGAGGTGTTATTATGACGCATTGAGAAGAATAGGAAACATATATACTATTCGCACTGTTTCCCCGGGTAGCCAGGGGAAGGAGGACCGAATGCCGGAAGTAGACCCCGCAAAAGAAGAGGCCCACGTAAAGCCGATGGAGGAGTTGATGGTAATTCAACTATGCAAGAAGGATGCCTCTCGCACCACTCGCATAGGTGGCGGGTTAGACGCAGGCATGTCTCAACAGCTGACAGAGTTTATGAGGCAGAATCAGGATGTGTTCGCGTTCACTCCAGCAGATCTCGGGAGTATCGACGAACAGCTCGTGGTGCACAAACTGAACGTTAAGCAGAATGCGAAGCCAGTCAAGCAAAAGCGTCGACATTTTGGAGTAGAGAAAGACAAAATTATACAAGAAGAAGTACGGAAGTTGTTAGCAGCGGGACAGATCCGGGAGATTCGTTTTCCTACTTGGCTGTCCAATGCAGTTTTAGTCAAGAAGGGCGAGGGAAAGTGGCGAATGTGCATTGACTTCAGGGATCTCAACAAAGCATGTCCCAAGGACTACTACCCTCTGCCACGAATCGACCAGCTCGTAGATTCAACCCCCGATTGCGAGATGCTGAGTATGGTGGACGCCTCACAAGGATACCATCAAATTCCATTGTGCCTTGGCGACCAGCCCAAGGTGAGCTTCATCGCCTCCACTGGAACCTATTGCTACACGGTAATGCCTTTTGGGCTGAAAAACACGGGAGCCACGTACCAGAGGCTAGTAGACAAGATGTTCAGGGACCAACTCGGGAGGAACATGGAGATATACGTGGATGATATGTTGGTGAAAAGTCAAAAGGCGAGCACTCATTTAGAGGACTTAAAGGAAACATTCTACACGCTCCGACGCTACGGCATGAAACTTAACCCCAATAAGTGTGCTTTCGGGGTGAAAACGGGAAAATTCCTGGGTTACATGGTGACTGAAAGAGGGGTGGAAGTGAATCCGGAGAAGGTGCAGACGGTTTTGGATATGGAGGCACCACGTAATATTAAGGAGGTTCAAATGCTGGCGGGAAGAATAACAGCTCTGAGTAGATTCATATCTAAGGCAGGAGAGGCTAGTCACCCTTTCTTCAAAATACTAAGAAAGGGGACTCAATTTGAGTGGACGGAGGAATCAGGGAAGACTTTCGAGCAGCTCAAAAACCTTCTCGCTCGTCTCCCGCTGTTAGCAAAGCCTGCGCCAGGAGAAAAGCTTTATGTATATCTAGCAGTGGGTGAGTTCGCGGTCAGCTCGGTCTTAGCCCGAGAGGAGGAG